AGGCAGATACAATAGGGGCATTTAAGGGACTTTTAGATAAGCACATAAACATGCAAGGAATGGAGGGATATAGATCAATTGCAAGCAGTGGGGATTAGTTTCATTTGACATCATGGTCGGCACAATATCATGGGCTGAAGGGCCCATTCCTGTGCTGTATAGTTCTGAGTTCTGTGTTCTGATAATATATTTAAGAGTTAATACAACCTGTACATAGTTATTGAGATGTAATAAATTATGTCCTGTATCTAAGACAAGAGCCTGTTCTACCAAGACTTATTTAAGGTTTATCCTTCACCATAGACAATTGTAAAGTCCCGAGACTAGCACAGGGAGAAGGATGCCCAGTCAGAGAAGCAGCGGAGGTGTAGCTGAGTGGGAAGGGAATGGCTGCAGTAGGGTCTGTCAATGAAAGCTGAAGGGTAAAGGCACAAATCACATCAGGGATAGTAGGAATGAAGATTTAACGTGGGATATGGGCTGCTGATCTAGCAGATGGCTTTGTCCTGGATGGTCACTAGCCTCTTGAGTGTTATTGTAAAATCCTTCATGCCGGTTAGTGTGAGCATTTACTTACACAATTGAATGTAGGAAAGACAAAGCCATTGGGTGGAATCTTGTGACAGCGGGAGGGACATTGAATTGAATGGGACGTAAGATATCTGCTTACAGAAACCGAGATGAAAGTTCTTGAGTCATAGAATCATAGAGATAGACAGCATGGAAACAGACCCTTCAGCCAAACTCATCCATGCCGACCAGATATCCTAAATAAATCTAGACCCATTTGCCAACATTTGGCCCGTATCCTTCTAAACCCTTCCTATTCATTAACACATCTAGATGCCTTTTAAATGTTGCGATTGTACCAGCCTCCACCGCTTCCTCTGGCAACTCATTCCATACACACACCACCCTCTGCATGAAAATGTTGCCCCTTAGGTCCCTTTCCCCTCTCACCTTAAACCTATGCCCTCTAGTTTGGACTTCCGAACCCCGAGGAAAAGACATTGTCTATTTACCCTAATAATGTCCCTCATGATTTAATAAACTTCTACAAGGTCACCCCTCAGCCTCCATTGCCCCAGGGAAAATAGCTTCAGTCTATTCAGTCTCTCCCTACAGCTCAATCCCTCTAACCCTGGCAACATACTTGTAAATCTTTTCTGAATTCTTTATAGTTTCACATCATCCTTCTGTAGGAGGGAGATCAGAATTGCACATAATATTCCAAAGGTGGCCAAATGAATGCCCTGTACAGCCACAACATAACCTCCCAACTCCTATACTTAACGCACAGGCAAAAAAAGGCAAATAAAATGCCTTCTTCACTATCCCATCTACCTGTAACTCCACTTTCAAGGAACTATGAACCTACACTCCAAGGTCTCTTTGTTCAGCAACACTCCCCAGGACCTTACCATTAAGTGTATAAGTCCTGCCCTGATTTGCCTTTCCAAAATGCAGCACCTCACATTTATCTAAGTTGAACTCCATCTGCCACTCGTTGGCCCATTGAACCATCTTATCAAGATCCTGTTGCACTCTGAAGTAACCTTCATCGCTGTCCACTACACCTCCAATTTTAGTGTCATCTGCAAACCTACTAACCATACCTCTCATGTTCACATCCAAATCATTTATGTAATTGACAAAAAGCAGTGGACCCTGCACTGAACCTTGTCGCATTCCACTGGTCACAGGCCTCCGCTATGAAAAGCAACCCTCCAGAACCACCATCTGTCTTCTAGCTTTGAGTCAGTTCTGTATCCAAATAACTAGTTCTCCCTGTATTCTGTGTGATCTAACTTTGCTAACCAGTCTACCATGAGAACCTTGTTGAATGCCTTACTGAAGTCCATATATATTACATGCACTGCTCTGCCCACGTCAATCCACTTTGTTAGTTCTTCAAAAAACTCAATCGAGTTAGTGAGGCATGGCTTCCCATGCACAAAGCCATGTTGACTATCCCTAATCAGTCCTTGCCTTTCCAAATATGTATAAATCCTATCCTTCAGGATTCCGTCCGACAACCTGCCCAGCACCGATGTCAGGCTCATTGGTCCATAATTCCCTAGCTTTTCCTTACCAACTTCCTTAAATAGTGCCACAATGTTAACCAACCTCCAGTCTTCCATCACTTCTCTTGTGGCTTTTGATGATACACATTGGGCGGCATGGTGGGCTCAGTGGTTAGCACTGCTGCCTCACTGCACCAGGGACCCGTGTTCAATTCCACCCTCGGGCGACTGTCTGTGTGGAGTTTGCACATTCTCCCAGTGTCTGTGTGGGTTTCCTCCGGGTGCTCTGGTTCCCTCCCACAGTCCAAAGATGTGTAGGCTAGGTGGATTGGCCATGCTAAATTGCCCATTGTGTCCAGGGATGGGTCTGGGTGGGATACTCTGAGGGTCGGTGTTGGGCCGATGGGCCTGTTTCCATACTGTAGGGATCCTATACCTCAGCAAAGGGCCCAGCAATCTCTTTGCTTGCTTCCCACAGAGTTCTAGGGTACACCTGGTCAGATGCCAGGGATTTATCCACCTTTATGCGTTTTAAGACGTTCAGCAACTCCTCCTCTATAATATGGACATTTTTCAAGATGTCGTTATTTATTTCCCCATGTTTTCTATCTTCCTTATCCTTTTCCACTGTAAACACTGATGCAAAATACTCATTTAGTACTTCCCTCATCTCCTGCGGTTCCATAAATAGGTGGCCTTGCTGATATTAAGGGTCCCTATTCTCTCTCTAGTTACCCTTTTGTCCTTAATGCATTTGTAGAATCCCTTTGGATTCTCCTTAACCCTATTTGCCAAAGTTATTTCATGCCCCTTTTTGCCCTCCTGATTTCCCTATTAGGTATACTCCAACTGTCTTCATACTTTCATGAAGATTTGCTCGAACCCTGCTGTCTATACTGACATAGGCTTCCTTCATTTTCTTGACCAAAACCTCACCTTCTCTAGTCATCCAGTATTCCCTACATCTACCAGCCTTGCCCTTTCACTCTAATAGGAACAAACTGTCTCTGGACTCTCATTATCTCATTTTTGAAGGCTTCCCGTTTTCCAGCCGTCTCTTTGCCTGCAAATGTCCACTCCAAAAACAACTTCTGAATGTTTTTGTCTAATACCGTCAAAGTTGGCCTTTCTCCAATTTAGAACTTAAACTTTTAGATCCGGTCTGTCCTTTTCCATCACTATTTTAAAATTAATAAATTTATAATCACTGACCCCAAAGTGCTCCCCCACTGACACCTGAGTCACCTTCTCTGCCTTATTTTCCAAGAGTAGGTCAAGTTTTGCATCTTTTCAAGTAGGTACATCCACAGACTGAATCAGAAAATTTTCTTGTACACTTTTAACAAATTCCTCTCCATCCAAGCTCTTAACACTATGACAGTCCCAGTCTATGTTTGGAAAATTAAAATCCCCCTACTATAACCACTCTATTATTCTCAAATTAACTGAGATCTCCTTACAAATTTGTTTCCCAATTTCCTGCTGACTAATAGGGGTCTATAATACAATTTCAATAAGGTGATCATCTCTTTGTTATTCCTCCGTTCTACCCAAATAACTTCCCTGGATGTATTTGCAGGAATATCCTTCCCAAGTACAGCTGAAATGTTATCCTAAATCAAAAATGCTACTCCCCCTCCTCTCTTTCTCCCCTTCCTATAGCATGTATACCCCAGAACATTAAGCTGTCAGTCCTGTCCATCCCTGAGCCACAACTCTGTAATTGCTATGATATCCCAGTCTCATGTTCACAACTGCGGCCTGATTTCATCTGCCTTACCTGTTAAGCCTCTTGCATTGAAATAAATGCAGTTTAATTTATCAGTCCTACCTCTTTCTCTGCTTTGTTCCTGCCTACCCTGACTGTTTGATTTACTCCTTTTCCCAACTGTATCAGTCTTAGACTGCTCTCTTTCCCCATTATCTCCCTGGGTTGCACCCCACCCACTATCCCTTACTAGTTTAAATCCTCCCTAGCAGCTCCAGCAAATCTCCCCATCAGTATATTAGTTCCCTTCCAATTCAGGTGCAATCCATCCTTCTTATAGAGGTCACTTCTACCCCAGAAGAGATTCCAATTATCCAAAAATGCAAATCCTTCTCCCCTGCACCAGCTCCTCAGTCATGGGCTCATCTGCTCTATCCT